AAGGGTTCATCACAGCGTCCAGCCCATTGGAGCCCTGACCACAAGTGTTGTCATACGTTTCCCGGGACGACTGGTGGAAGCCCTCTCCACAAAAGGTTATGAACACTCCAATAATTGCCTGAAGTCTGTTAAAAGACTATACTAAGATCTGGAAAAGTCATGCTAAGCTGAGGCTTGTTCACAAGTAAAAATCCAAAACCTTGATGTTGCAAGCTATCTATTGTTTCTGAAGAAACCATGAGATATCCCATCAGTATATTTGCTATCCATAGGAATTTCAAGCTGGCTCCTAAGTGTCTGGTTCCTCCTTAACCTTATGTTTTCCTGAGTATCAATCAGTTTTTTTTAAATGTTCCAAACCATGTAACCCTTTGTCAAGAGAAAAGACAATGATTTAGCATTAAGAATGCTTTGTAAAAGCTGAACTGAGGGTATAAAAATCTGTAAAAAAAGCAGCAGTGTGTGGGCTTCAAGAAGAAAGTCTCTCTCATACCATCCACTATTGTTCTCAAGACGCTGGAAGAAACAGATCATCTCCCTTAAAGGATTGTGCTAAGAACTTTACCCGTCAGCACTGAAACCCGAGTGCCTTAAACTGGTGAGATTCCAGCACTCGCTCTCTCTCTTTTCTCTCTAGGCATAAATTTATGAACCTAAACTGTATTAGTTAAGCTTGAGCTAAGTTTCCCCAAATACTTAGTGAAACTAGAGTAATACTGTAAATGATTGTGTTTGTTTTTCCTTTGCATGTCTATTACTACTAGTACCATTATATGTTTCATATACTTAGCAATAAATAACTTTTATAGTCAAACTGGTAGTAACTGGGTATATTTTTCCTTCTCTACTTCTCCTTCCCCACTTGCTCTGCAGTAACACTTCTTTTACCTAAGCTAAAGATCCCTGTGAAGCCCAAAAATACTGTGGGGTCTGCTCATCAAGAGGCTAAAGATTGAGATGTGCTGAGTTTGAAACACATAAGGGGATCAGCTTGTACAGGCTGATTGACCTAGTTTAGCTCAGACGTGCCCTAATAAATTGAGTGCTGGCCCATGAGGGTGTCCGCTGGACACCCAGCCGGATTCAGTAGTCTGTTTACCTGTGTGCTTGTGTCTGACTGCAGTTTATTGTTGCTCTGAACTGATTCTTGGCATGTGAGGGTGTCAGCCAGTCCATGCTGATCAACATGGCCGAATTAGGCGTGTCGCGTTAATTTGTGTGTGTTTGTGTGTATAACTGATTTAGTGACTGAAGGAACCCAGCCCCATTGAAACTGAGTCCTGCAAGATAGCCCCATTGAGTGTAAAGACTTGCAGAATGGAAATATACAACTTCGTATAAAAACACAAGTAACATTAACAGCACATTAATAAAATTACCAAGACGCTAAAAACGTTTCCGTAATAAAGGAGCACACCCCAAGGTAATAGGCAAATATGGTAACAAAGTGGTCTAGTTTAGATTGGGAGTGAACACTATACACATTTTCCCTTTGTGGGG